TGAATTTCGGTCAACAATGTAGTGTTGTCGCTGTATGCCACGTCGTTTATCCAAAATCTCTTGGACGCGTTTCTGTAACTCTACATCTTCGCTTTTAAGTTTTTTGGCTGGCGTAGGTCCATGGTCAGTGAAGTCGCATGAATACAGCTGTCCATTTACTTCTGTGCCATACTCAGAGTAGTTGATAAGTTCATACGTTTTGGTGAAGTCGTCGTAGAAAATTGTGGCATGCTTTGGGGAAATACGACAACAGTGCCCGATGAGAGAAAGATTCACATCAACAGAAGTCTGACCAGATCCAATATGCAAATTGCGATAGCGCATGAAAAATGAAGATTGCAATTCCAAATTGCTAAACCAGCGGTTGTCTTCAAGTATATCGCCAAGCGGAGTTAGAACGGCACGTGCGCGTACTTTACAGCGCATCAACTTCAGTTCAAGGCGCGTTGCTATTTCGTATGCTTTTTCGGCGTCAGTGCGTATGCGTGGTTTGTACTTCTGCTCTTCTTCGTCGGCAGCAACAATGGCAGCAGCAGTGGCTAGTGCTGGATGCAACTGCGGCAAATCGTCGTCTGTAGCTGTTTGATGTTGTGCCAAAATGGATGATGTCTCGCCAGTGAACATGATCGATAGTCGACGAACATCTTCTGGTGAGAGGATTTGCGATGGCAATATTTGTGGTGGATCAGATTGGGTAAGTTCTCGGATACGCTTTGCAGCCGTGCGATTTTGATATTGAACTACAATTTCGGGATGTTCTTGCACAAGTTGTTGTACGCGTTGAAAAGCTAATTTCTTTATTAAGTCCACATCTAAATAACGAAGCTCTGCATCTATTTCAACGTTGTATTTAGTATCTTCGTCTGTTTCTTCGTCATCTTCGATTTTTATTTTATCCACATCTGGTTGTTGAGATTGATTTGCGGATAATTTTTCTGCATCCTGATCGATTTTTACTTCTTCTTCGCTTTTTATGTGTATGTCTGAAACGCTGTTTTTTACAGATTCCCCGCGCTTGGCACGTTTTTTGTTACCTTTGCCCTTCTTGCCTTTTTCTTCATCTTCTGCTTTCTCTTTATCAGCAATATTGTGGCCACATTTTGACGCCTTCTCGGTATGTTTCTGGCCGTCAGTATTTTCCCTATTATCATCGTCCTCTTCTTCGCTACTGCTTAAGTCAGCTATTTGACCAAGTTCTTTCTGAATTTCACGTAATTTGGCTTTGGCACTTTGAAGTGCTTCCAAATCCTTAAAAACTGATTCAGCTACGCTCTCTTTAGATATTACTTCAGGTGAACTAGGAAGACACTTGCGCCGCTTGACTATGTCGTATCGTAAGGTTTCACGAAGTGATGGTAAGAGAGGTGGGGGATTTTCGTAGTGATACCTAACCATCGGAGGTATTTCAATGGTTTCGCGCGATTTTATTGGCACTTTGATGCGGAAGGGAGGATTACGCATGTGTACGCGTCTAAAGAATTCCATTTTAACCGACTCATGGTCGAAAGGTTGTGAAAATTTGTCCCACAGCCGAATGCGCTCAGTGGCTGAAATACTGCTCACAAGATGATTGTCCTAAAAATGTGTATATATGGTTATAATTTCAGTCTCATGGAAATTTATAGTCTCACAATGAAGTTCTCCACATGGTTTGGGCACATCCATAGGCCAGTTGGCAGAGCAGTCATCGGTGGATTCAGACAATCTTGATGAAAGTATAATGGACAGTAGTCACATGCTACAAGTGGCGCTTTCTTACATGACTTGCGGCAGTAAAAACAAGTCTTCGCTGGTAATGGCACCAGGCCTTGTGGATCTAGCTCATATGGTTTAGAATTACGGCGTACATTACTTGGTTTTTTATTGCCATTTCCATTTTTGCGGAGCGGTTCAACTGGAAACAAGTGCAAAAACTAATAATGCAAGAAATATAGCACTATTGACAAATGTTTTAAATGTACCCTTATCATTTCCAGGAAACTGTGAATGAATTTCCAGCTCCCGCGGTAGCTCAAATTGTTTCGGATTTAATATACTAGCAGCCTTGATGAGCTCATCTAGCGGTGTAGGTTTTTTATTTGGATCCAGTGCTCTTTGTATTCCCACTGGTAATTTTGATAAATATTTTTCCGTAGTGCTAATTTCACTACAAACCGATGCACGGCTGCTGCTGCGTTTTCGTAAGTTACGAAATTTAAATGGTGCCGATTCAGTCTCAATCGAAACTGAAGGGGTACTTGGCCGCGAATTATCTGTGCGTGCGGAAGCTGTTGTGCCAGAAACGCCACGTTCAACAGAGCTTGATTTAGATGGTGGAGTAGGTTTGAGTGTCATGCGACAGTTATGACATAACCACTGTCCGCTCGGTATATCTTCCTCCGTTAATGGCGGATCGCTATGGGAAATAATGCTCTAGCTATAACAAATGGTGTACATATGTGCACACATTTAACACGTGTACTTACTGACACTGCAAATGAAAGCTGGATGGACAACGATCGCAGCACAGAAGATCCCCACCTTCTTCGCAGGCATCGCAAAGGTCATGATTATGACCCCGACCTGGCCGCTTATAATATGGATGTTTTGTATTCACTGGACGCAATGTTATCTTTTCTTCTTCAGATGGCGGGGGTTTAATAAGCGTTTTAATTTGCTGTGTAAAAATAAATTCGTTATATTACCATAAGTTTATAAATATTCTATGTTAAAGTCAAATTATGGATATATACACATGGCAATTGTATGGCGTTCCAGCATCTGGATTTACATACTGGGACTCACAACTTTCACTACATTTCAGCTAATAGAGCATAGTTTGAATTACCTCCATAATGGGCAAATTCGGATCCACTACCACTTTCGACATGTCTACTATCTTTTAGCTACAAATTTGCCACAAAAACGTTGTTGATTTCTTGCAACAACCAATTTATTCCAAAGGATATTTTGCTGCAGTTATATTGTTTGACATTTGTTCAATTCGATGCTGCGGGAAGTGTGTTCAGTGAATTCTTGTAACCACAATGAGGGTTGTATTTGATAGTGCGTTTATTCTGACTGTTTATTCCACCATGTTCACTACTTTGTTCTTTTTCCAAGATATTAAAACATGTAATAGCGCTAATTTTTCTTAATTTAGGAAAAAATAGTTTTAATTAACTGGCAGTCACCACAGGATATATATCTTGATACATATGTCAGAATATAATTTGCCAATGGAGACCGCTCATTACTATCCAAGAGTAATATATGTATATCAGAGCTTGCCATCTATTGCCGGCAATTTGCAAGTGTGACAGCTACATACATCTTGATTTGCACGAAAACTTCGTGGCGGAAACGTTATTGATTTTTTTATGTTAAAGCAAATACTGAGACGGTTTCTATTGTGGTATGCGAGCTCTCGCTTGCATGATAAAAACATAACAAGGTAAAACCATTGGGAGGCAGTCTGACGTTTGCCAACAATATAATTTTAAAATCAAAACTCAAACTCACACACACATTCTCATTTTCAATCTCAAACAACAACAATTGTGAACAATTTAATTTTTTTATTTTCAATTTAATATGATTTTAAAATGTTGGCAAACGTCAGAAAAAAATCATGGCCGACGAAATGAGAGAATGAATTTACCTTGTAATGTTTTTATCATGCTCGCTTGCTTTCAACTGTCATTTTTGTTGTTTGACAGCTATGTTCTCATTTCACAGAATTCTTCAGAGTAGCAACCTCGTTTATTTTGGAGGCAAAAAGAAATTTCACGTAAGGATTCACCCAAAACCGTTTCTGGCGTATTTTTCTCTCTTTATGCAGATTTTCTCAAACTTTTAAGAGCCTGCAAGGCTTGAACCTTCTTGTTTGGCGTAATCGCCCCTCGGCAGGCAATGGCAAACCTCCGAGCATGATAAAAAAATATAGTAAGGTAGAACCGCTGAGAGTCACTTTTAAAATTATTGACGTTTCCAAACAATTTAATTTTTAAATTTACTCACAAACTCACACACACATTTTCATTTTCAATCTCAAGCAACAACGATTTCGAACAATTTCATTTTTTTATTTTCACTTTTATATGATTTTAAAATGTTGGCAAACTTCAAAAAAAAATCATGGCCGACAAATTGAGAGAACGGTTCTACCTAGCTATATTTTTATCATGCCTCCGAGTGTATCTCTGCCACGAAAAACAGCTTCTCATAAAAATACAATCGCCGTTCGGAGTCGGCATAAAACTGTAGGTCCCTCCCATTTGTGTGACAACATCAAGGCGCACGCCACAAATCGGAGGAGAAGCTCGGCCAAACACTAACATATGTGTAAGCGCCAATCTATTATTATTATTATTTCAGAAAAGGCCAAATAAATTTCTGAAAACGCCAAATGAATTTCAGAAAAAGTAACATGTATTTGAGAAAACCTTAAACGTATTTCAGAAAAGGGCAAATGTATTTCAGAAACGCTCAAATGTTTTTCAGAAAAGGTCAAATGTATTTCAGAAAAAGCCAAATGAAATTCAGAAAAACAAAATTGTAATTCAGGGAAGTTCAAATGGTTTTCAGGGCAAGTTGGAATACACTTGTGCTTTTATGAAATTCATTTGTGTTTTTCTGAAATACATTTGCCCTTTTCTGAAATACATTTCGACGCCTGGGTAAAAGATTTTCGTAAGCGTCATACGTACCTGCGTAACATACGACAATCTTTTACCCAGGCGACGATTTGTGTTTTTCTGAAAATCATTTGAGCTTTATTAAAATACAATTGTGTTTTTCTGAATTTTATTTGGCTTTTTCTGAAATACATATGAGCTTCTCTGAAATACATTTGAGCTTTTCTGAAATACATTTGTGTTTTTTATGAAATACATTTGTGCTTTTATGAAATTTATTTTGCTTTTACCGAAATACGTTTGTGTTGTTCTGAAATACTGTTAGAAAAGGTGTAGTTTTAGTCCGAGAAATTTGGGATTTCACCTAAATATTGCCACTGATATAACTTATATCTAGCGACCAAAAAGACAGCTGGACAGCAATAAACTTTATCCTGTGAAGACTGCCAGTAATAGGAAAAAATCAAACGAAAAAATAAAATGCTGCGACTATTGTGAACTTATCATGAAAAATTTACATCGACAACCCTAAGCAGTACTGAGTCAACAAAAGAATAGAATAAAAATAGAGCAATACTAAACTAAAAACGCAAAATAAATTGTCAATAGAAGCGAAATCAGTACAATACTTATTTGATTCAGTATAAAATGCTTTCGTTCTTCTCTAAGAAGAAGCCAGATTCACCGCCAGTAGAAGTAATTCAAGGTCCTGCGGATCCTACCCAATCTAATGAAAGCGGAGGTGGAGATGATTTCATTTTTGTAGAACGCAAGACTTCTGACAACGATCCTGCTAGGCTACCTACACAAGGTATGGGGATGTATCCACCGATGCCACCCACGTTTGGAATGGGTAAATTTCCGGGACCGCCTGTTTATCCATCGACATCAAGCGCGGCAAGCGGATGTGATACCACGGCGCCAGTCCCATATGTTCAGGGTATACCATTCGAACTGGCGCCCCAACTGAGTACAAAAAGTGACTTTGAAATAACACAATTGCAAGTAGACAGCATTTTAGCATTGCTGACGCGTCAAATGTCGGTGGACGAAAATGAAGAATACAATTTTGCATTGGAAAGGTCGATACAAAACGAGTGCTACTAATGTTTTCGGAGGACGCATGCATGTTGTTGATATCGCTTGTATAAAACAACGTATTTTTATTTTAATTATTATTTAGGTATAAGAAAACCCACGAAATAATAAAATTTAAAAAGCCGACAAAACGCATAATTATTAATGGAGGTGGGCTCCAAATATCTAGGTGGCTCCGGTAGTGTCGATTTGATTTTGTACGAAAAAAACAGCACATGATCAATATCGAGGCTATCAAAGACCATTCAATATTTCATTATTCCAAGATAAATTACTCCTTATGATTCCTTGGGTAAAACAAATTGGCATTTAAATTGGTTTGAACAAATCTTATCCCGGTATGCCATGAAGTATTGGTTACTCGAAACTTTTAAGAGCGGTTTCTTTCATTTACAAGCAACCCTACATTTTCAACAGCTGATGTTGACATTTCGGTCTCGTATGTCAAAAGAAAAAAATAGTTGTGTTCGTTTAGAAAGGTCAGAAACGAGCAAGCAACAAAATTCAGAGATTAAATTCTCCCAAAGAGAGAAACATAAACAGTTTTTCGGCATGGTGTATTGAGTACGCCTTGGTTTTTCGCGAAAAGGACTTTGCCATGCCGTTTGGAATAGTAGAGTAACTTAAAACGCAAAAAAAAAACAAAAAAAATTGCGAAAATATGTCGCATGGCGGTCAGAAAATCGAAAAAATTTGGTTTTTGTTCAAATTTTCCTTAAGCGGATATTTCGCTTGGTTGTTGTATCAGCATACAGATTTCCCAAAGAATTTATGGGGAGTGTTGCTGGAGTGACAGTCCTTGACCAGTTATAAATCTGGGTCGTTCCGGTTACGTAGACCAGACTGTCGTGGGAACGGTTGGTTTGTTAAACCGCTTGTGTGGTGTATTTCGCTCGTAATTATTTAATTTTCCAAACAAAAATTTGCCAAACACTGACCTAAGTAATAAAATATATATGTACAAACTTCTTTCATTAGCAAATCGCAACAAGATTGTACATTTTTAGGTTTAACGAAGTTCTTCCCATCACAAATTTGCAACATCCTCTACAAATGAAATGTCAAACTGCGCTCTCTTTATGCACGTTTTGTAAAACTTGTAAACCTTTTTTGTATTGCGAACAAAACTATTATTAATGTTTGTCTGTACATATGTACGTGATTTCATTTCACTAGCAATCTAAACAAAAACAACATTCCGCGCTTTGACCAGCTTTTGCAACCTATTTTTCGCCCAACCAAGAAATATTACTCACCTCCTTATAATATAGTGTAGACGAAGGTGAATCGAGGTGTTGACGCAATTTCAAAGCAGATCTACTAAAATTTAGGATATTAAGTTAATTTTTCACTTGATAATTAATCTGTCATCGTTTTTTGTTTACATAGCAGTGATATAACAATAATGTCAAGCTCGGCAAAGGCAGGCGATGTCCATGAATCGGTACCTGATTCGCAACAGCTGCCACAGCAACTATATGTGGAAACATTTTCGGTGTATGTGGTAACTTGGAATGTGGGCACTCGTTTCCCGGATAATATTTCTTTGCGGTCACTATTGGGACTTCAAGGTGTTGATGACGAAAAGGAACAAGTTTTGCCTGACATTTACGCCATTGGCTTACAAGAGGTGAACGTACAACCACAGCAACAAATGTTAGGTCTATTCAAGGAAGACCCGTGGACGCACAAAGTGAAAAAACTACTTCGGGATTTCGACTATGTGGTCATAAAAACTGAACAAATGCAAGGTTTATTACTTACATTGCTAGTGCGTCGGCCACATGTTCAGCATATGCGAGATATTGAGCCCGAGTTCACCCGAACGGGATTTGGCGGTATTTGGGGTAACAAAGGTGCAGTGAGCATTCGCTTTTCGTTATATGGTTGCGCTTTAACTTTTGTTGTGGCACACTTGGCTGCTCATGATCACCATTTGGATGAACGCATTGAAGACTATGAGCAGATTATGGAAAATCACCACTACCATGTACCACACTATCGCGAGATATACGACCACGATTATGTTTTTTGGTTTGGCGATCTTAATTTTCGTCTGATGGGTGATGACAGTCCAGCTGAAGTTTTGGCCAATGTTAAAAAGGAGGAAGTGATGTCTGAACTCATTCAACGCGATCAGTTGTTGCATGTGAGAACTAAGTTGCATAAAGCATTCCATCTAATGCATGAGCGCTTGCCTGCATTCCCACCGACTTTCAAATTTCACGAAGGTACATCGAATTACGATTTAAAGCGCCGACCTGCTTGGACGGACCGTATACTCTATGCTTTGCAACCGCTCAATAAACGCCCCGATGAAAGACTAGCCATCGAACAAAGATCATACAAGTCACATCCAGCCTATAACATAAGTGATCATAAACCAGTGAGCAGCGAATTCAGTATTAAACTTTATCCGAATTATCGAGCAACTTGCGTAACTTTCAAAGAAATCGCTGAGTGGCAAATCGGCGAGGAAAACATAGTGCAATATCTAAAGCCCAATGATTTTGAGGAACGAAATCACGACTGGATCGGTATTTATCGGGAAGACTTTGCTAGTCTGAGTGAATACATAGGGTATGAGTATGTCAATCAAGCCGAGTCACCACCATCGTCGCCGGAACCAAGGCAGGGTACCTTCGAAACACCCGGCACGCATCGGTCAGGTCGGCACCGTCATCGCAACCATGAACGCTTGCGCCGTCAGCAGTTACAGAATGAAGAAGACATTCGCCTCGATTTCTCCGATGACATCAACATGCGAAATGGCGAACGTTACTTATTAATTTACTTTCAAAATACTGGTTTACGTGGCGTCACCAGCGTGGCTGGTGTGAGCAATGTTTTTCGTGCAATTACGTCGTGAGCAATTCAAATCAGCCTTAAAAAAGGTTGACAATTGCGCTATTTATTAATTAACTTTATTGTTTTGTTTTACCAAGTTTTAGATTGTTTATTACACTACTAAAGTCATCTACACAGTCTGTATACATATACATACATGCATATATTTTGCTACAATTGGGGTATTCACACCTGCCTGGTTATCTGTTTAAAAATTATTATTCTCTATATTTTTGTTGTAAACCGAGTAAAAAACTGATAACCTGGCAGGTGTGGATACCTTAACTATATATGTACATTAGACTGCGCTTTAGTTGTATGGAGAACATTTTTCGTTAAGCTACAACGCAAGATCCCTAGAAATTTGATCTGGTAATAAAAACAAGCTCTGCGAAGAATTTTTAAAATCGGATAACGGAAAGACGTGTCTGAACGCTCCTAAAGTTCAGATTTTCATGCAATTTTTCACAATGTGGTTAAAATTGCCTATAAGTCAGTGGGAAATTTAATATCTTTTAATGGAACTTGAACTTGTTTTGTCCCCCAATGTCAAATACGGCTACAATATTTTTAAACCTTCGCAACTTTTAAAGTTATTGAGGGTTTTCGCACGTAAAATTAAAATTTTTTAGGATTACTGATGTTACAAATCCTACAAAGCAAGAAAGCAAGACTCCCCCAGAAATGTTCATTTGGTCATAAAAAATCGGATAACGGAAAGACGTGCCTCAAAGGCCCTAAAGTTCAGCAAACTCATGGAATTTTTCACAAAGCAGTTAAAATTGCCTATAAGTCAGTGGGAAATTTAATATGTTATAATGGATCTTGTTGGGTAGGTACGAAGAAAAAAATGTAGTAGCGAATTTGACACGTAGATCATGGATCCACAGTCTTGCCCCTAAATTTCATACGGGAACATTCCGCCATCCTGGATTTTATGTTTTTTTGGGGGTTTTGTGCGATTTGCAAGCTTATTTTGAATTTTTCGAACAAAAGGGCTGTATACACATTTGTAGAGAATTTCATTTTTTTCTCCGTACCAATTTGATCTAAATTTACTGGGCTAAAATTTAACTTCTGAAATCCTAGAAAGTTGTAATTTTACGTGGAAAAAAACCTCAATAACTTTAAAAGTTGCGAAAGTTGAAAAATATTGTTGCCATTTTTGACATCGGGAGAAAAAACTACATCAAATGCCATTAAAATATATTAAATTTCCCACTGACTTATAGGCAATTTTGACCACTTGGTCAAAAATTCCATGAATTTGCTGAACTTTAGGGCCTTTGAGGCAAGTCTTTCCGTTATCCGATTTTTTATGACCAAATGAACATTTCTGGGGGGAGTCTTGCTTTGTAGGACAAAGTTGCAAAATAAGGCGCAGTCCAATGTACATATATATTTTTCAGAAGTTTAATTTTAAGGAAAAACATTGGATTAAGGGATGTCACTTCTAAAAATACTAATCTACTGAATTAATCATAGACAAAAATAATTTGAGAATGTTTCAAAACGCATTTAATCATTGTTCCACAACATTCTAAAGTGCGTGATAAATATACATATAATATAATACAATGAAAAATGTACATGATATGAAAAAGTTTAAATAAATGTTTTACAATAATAAAGAAATGAAATATATATAAGATGATTTTTCTTTTTCAATACAGTACATAGGAGTCCCTACATACATATTAGAGGCTTACGCCGACAGACTTTGCCGCGGCGGCGTTGACAACTTTAAAAATAATCGGTGGCGGCGGCGCAACTGCCCATTAGGCAGATTCCAAAGAGCCATGAGGCTACTACTAATTTTATCATGTGATCTCGTCAGCGTTAAGCGTTCACAATGCTAATTCAGATTATAAATTTATTTAATTCGTTCTTGAATTAGTTTTAAAGTTAAATATTGCTGCTTTCTACTTGAATTGAAATGTTGAGTGCGCTGATGGGTGGGCGAACAGAAGGTATGAGGTTTGTACATAATGTGACCAACTATTTCATGGCTTAAAGAAGTACAGGACCTGAGAACAAAAAATTGTATGAAAATAATGAAAAAATGGTAAAAGCAGAATATACAACAACGTTGACAGTGTACCAAATCCAACAACGTTAATTTTTTAATTAACAAGGAAAGAAGTATAGGATGGGGCGGATTAAATATAGTTTTTTTTCACCTTTCTTCAAACTATGTACATGAGAAGCCGATTTCAAACATTTTCGATAATATGCTCAATTAGACTTAGTGATATATTTAAATGAACTGGGCTTGGTAGAAATCGATAAATTGCTTACCGAGCATAAGCGGTGTCGTGCCCATTTTCCAAAAATCTATTCA